CTGGCCACAGGCGCTGAAGTTCTGCTGCACTTGGAGGGCCTGCCTAACATGATTTAGGGATCTGAAACAGTCAAGATCTTTATGGCCCGATGTTCTGTCTCCCCATGGGAACATTGTTCCTTGTAGTACAGGTGGGGTCCTGGACCTTGTACTGGCCCACCTGAGCCATATGGTATGCTCTGTCCATGGCTCTTCCAACCATGACTGACCTGCTCTTGCCAAAGCCATGAGGTCTGGCACATTGTGATACTAGTGAGTTTGGTGTCCTCTTGCTGCTGTTCATGTGGAGTGTAAGCTCAAAATACTCCTGCAAAATGGCTTTTGCCTGGAGGCTGTTAACAATCTGAAACAAACCCCAGATGGGCAGAATGCTAGACCTCCAAGCGTACCGTAGCAGAGATGCCTCACCTGACTCCAAATGATCCCTTTTGCCTACCTGAGCCACACTAGCCGTGGTAATGCGGAGCCCAGTGCAGGCTGATGGTGAATTGAACCACGTAGCTAATGGGGTTACTTGCTTCCAGGTCCTGAAGCTGCAGTTTACCTTGGGGTCTCTGTACAGTATTGTAGTGTAGACATACAGAAGCTGAGACATTTATTTGGAAATGAGAAGTCTGTTTAATTTGGGCCTGCCCTAATTGCTGGCATGAAATTCTTAATTGTGTCATTAGACTATAAAGATCATCAATATGCTTTGATCTGACAAATGAAGATGCCTTGTGTTCAGGATGAGTCACAAATCTGTGAGTCAGGAGGGGCGAATGGATCCCAAGTAAATGCTGATAAATTAATAGATTGGAGAGCACGGCATTTTGATGTTGCTAATCGAATTGTCTAAAAGGATTGAAGTGATGCAAGGCTTTGATGGGTAATCCAAGACAGAACTTTTAAAGTAATATTTTATTTTTCCTCTTTCTATACACAGACAACGTTTCCTGTGACTCCATCGCTTGCAACAAGCCCCACGATGGCTTTCAGTCCCTACCTGAGTCACGTTTCTCCTGGGATGGGATTGGTTCCTGCAGAGCTTTTACCAAATACTCCTGTCCTGGTTTCCGGAAATCCTACTGTTACAGTACCAGGAGGCTCTGCTGGGCAGAAACTGATGCGTACGGATAAACTGGAGGTATTTGGATGTCTGATACGATACTGCTGATGGGAATGAACAGGACATGTGGTCCAGCTGTGGCTCTGTGCTAGAATGACCTGATGCAGCACAGTGCAGAGTTTAACTTGCAGCTTTCCTAACACAGGGCTGCTGCTCTCTGCTTGAGCAGACTCTCATGCGGGGCCTGATCCCAAATCGTTGGAAGTCACTGGAAATTTGGGAGCAATCACTCTTCTGATTTCAGTGCGTGTTAGAGCAGGATTGTTGTTTTCTGTGTGTGATCTGCCATGCTTTAAAAAATGCAAGTAGATGGTCTGCTCTTTTACTGAGTTGTGTGGGGACATTTTGGAAGTAACAGACACTTCTCTTGTCTAGAGATGGGCTTATCTAGCTTTTACGGAAAGCTTTAAGCATTACACTGTTGGGAGTAGTGAGTACAGGGCATTGGAAAGACTTCTCCTCCCCCCCATTTGCCTGGGCATGTTGGGACTTAGTGTTGGAGAAGTTGTAAATGTCTTTCAAACCCTAAGCAGAGGCTCTGCAGTAGATAAGGGCTGAGGGCCTGAATTCAGAGGCCCCTGCAGGTGTAAATTATAACACAGGAAGGTAGTGGAGAAGGGTGTAATTTCAAAACACGTTGTTTTATGTACTTTGTATTACCTTGCTGATATCTCACCTTTCCCCACACTCAGTCTGATAGTGCACTGGTACATGATCTTCACCACCAGCTACAGTCCTCAACAGTTTCTCTCAGTTCCTCAGACAAGGAAACCTTGCAGATCTATTTTGTGAAACCTTTTTCTCTGCCTTTGATGCTTCAGTGGTCATAACCTAGAAGGATCTGCAAGATCTTCGTAAAGCTAGCAATTTTGGCAACACCTTACAAACATGTTGCAGTGTAATCGAATGCACTGTCATGAAATGCCCAGGTTGGAGTTTGACTGTGGAGGGCAGTGAGACTATTTATGTGAAAGAGGCTCCTTATATTTAAGAAAAGGTACTTGTTGCAAATAACAGCAGCATGCAACATTTAGAATTAAATGTCCTACCCAAGAGCGTGCTCCATAACAAATGCATAATCCAGGTGAGACGCAGTTTGGCAGAGTTCTTAAGATTTAAGCTTTAGAGGCAGAGAAGGAATCCTGAGCTCCAAAAGTTTTGGCAAAATGACATTGACTTCCTGGGGTCACTTTCCATTCTGCGCAAATTCTGTACTTCTCTTGCATTTGGTAATGGGCCTTGGTAATGTTGTGGGTTTTTTTGTACCCCTGAACCAGTTGCGAGTAGCACCAGTTGCCCCTGTGACTGTTGGTGTATGTGCTACACAAGATGAGCATGGATTTAGAATAAATGCATGGTTTGATGTGGCCAACTGAACTGATAATTCTGTGTTGAAAATACTAAATGAAGAGTAACTTGATGTTCTGCTCAACAATGTGGCTTTCTTTTAAGGTTTGTCGAGAGTTTCAGCGTGGAAATTGCACACGTGGTGAGAATGATTGCCGCTATGCTCATCCTATAGATATTGCAATGATAGACACAAATGAAAATACTGTTACAGTTTGCATGGATTACATCAAAGGTCGATGCTCTAGGGAGAAATGCAAGTACTTTCATCCCCCTGCACACCTGCAAGCCAAAATCAAGGCAGCTCAACACCAGGTGAACCAGACAGCTGCAGCTGCAATGGTAAGTAGAACTCTTCTCAAGCTGTATTTCCATTGCTAAGAGATTTCATTTGTGTCATACATGTTGTTTGTGGAAAAGTAGAGTGCTTTGTAAATGGCTGACTAGAGAGCTGAGAGCATGTGCAATACGAATCCCATCTCTTCATCCTTCCTACGTGCTCACCATAGCATGAAGCCCTGAGTGGTGCAGTACACCTCGCTGGTTAGGTACGTGGTGGCGAACCCTGTGATTTTCTGGCGTGACATGAACACAAGTACGGCAGCACTTGTATCCAGCACCTTCCCTGGCTAAGTTGTAGGTGTCAATTTAGCTTCCTCACTACACAATGGAAGCAAAGACTGACCATCCCATAATACATCCTTTGCAGGGAGATCCTGGCCTGTTGAAGTCAGTAGCAAAATATCCACTGACTTAAAAGCAGACAAGATGTCAGTTGTTTGAGCTCAGCAAACTTGTGCCTGATACCTTTGCCAAGGCTTAGTGAAATGACAAGCCTCAAGCCAAGGGTGATTTCCTGTACTGTTTGATACTTCAGACCTGGTAGAGATGGTCCCACCTGCATTTTAATTTGAATTGTGACTTCTAACACCTGCAATTCTAAAAATGAGTCAAGGAAGACTTACCAGAAAAAATTCCTAGCTGGAGTAAATGTTTGCTATTCTGTTGAATTTGGTTTAATGGCACCTATTTATTCCAGAGATGAGAGAGCTAGGATGTTTAGCCTGGGGAGGGAAGAAGCCCTGGGGGATCTTAGCTGTGTGTATAAACTCCTGATGGAGGAAGTGAAGAAGATGGAGGCAGATTCTTCTCTGTGATACCCAGTGAAAGGACAAGAGGCAGTGGGCACAAACGGAAATTCAGGAAATTCCATTTCAACATAAGAAAAAACGTCTTTACCATGAAGGTGATCAAACACTGCAACTCTGTCCTTGGGGATGCTCACAACGTGCCTGGATGCAGTCCTGAGCAAGCTGCTGTAGTTGACCCTGCTTTGAGCAGGGTGTTGGTCTAGATGATCTCCAGAGGTCCCTTCCAACCTCATCTGTTCTGTGATTTATTTATTTTTTTATAACTAATATTAAAAAGGTTCTTGCCTCCCTTTTGATTTAGAAGAAAGACTAAATTTTTTCTAAATACCTTTTTTTTTTCCTAAATACAGTAAAAGAGGTTGCTTTTCATTCATAGTGAAACATAATGCAAAACCAGGACGATTCTAGAAATCATAAAACTACCCTCCTTGTAGCATCAGTATTACCTGGAATGTAATTTGAAGAACCAGTTTATACTACAGTATTTATTTGTCCTGCAGAGTTCATTTATTAGATTTCTTACTATTTTTATTATTGTTGAAATAAGAGCCCAGGTCTGTTAGAAAAATAACCTTCTGAAATCAATTGTGTTTTTTACAATTGAATTTTTACTTTTTCACTAATTATCTAGAACACTGCTACTTAACTAAAGCCAATGCATGTTTTATTCATGCTGCTGGCTTCTCTTAAAAATGTAATTAACCTTACTTGTATGTTGTTAACTAGAACCTTTAAAATATTTATTGATGGCTTGTTGCATCACCCCTGCTACCAAAACAGCTTACATTATTCATTGACTTCTCAAGGTTTGATGCATTTACTGTACCTGTTGAGGAATAAGACTTTAATAAAGGGAAGAATGGTGCCCAGTTTTCTTGCATCAAAAAACAAATGCCTGACAAATGGGTGTGCCTTCTGAAATAGATTTGGAATTACTTCAAATCTAAATTCAGGAGATAGTTCTGAGGGACCCCATCTTGCAGTTACTTGATATGCACAAGTAGTAGCTTTACTAACTCCTGCTTGGCTGAAGTCTGTGCAGCAAAGTCAGATGAACTGGATCAGGCTCAGTCCCCAGTTCAGGGTGGCACTCAAGCATGTGCTTGAACCTCGCTGCTTTACCGGTGGTCCTTCCCTTGCCACAAGCACTCCTGCTGACCTCCACGTGGCCGTAGCTGCAGCACGAGGGCTGAAGCCCAGCGCACGTCCAGCTGCAGGCGCTGGTCCCCAGCGCTCCTCACCCGCTGTGCAGCTGCAGCGAAGACGCTCTAAAGCATGTGTCCTGTGATGACACTACTTTTAAAACTTACTGAGGTAAAATAGCTGACTAGCTACTAGGCCAGGTAATTACTCAGCCACCCCACGTTGTGCATGCCTCGTCTTTTTAATATAAGTTGTATAATGCATTCATTTTTACATTTTTTTTTTTCTCTTCACCTCTCGAAAATGTTGCTCTCTCTTGACACACCTCTGCTTGCTGTTTTTGTTACTGTGCTTGACCCCCCTCCCCGGCCCATTGCCATCATGTGCTCGCTGCCTGCTAATTAAGACTCAGCCAGCTGTCAGATCACTGAAGCGACCGCTCGAGGCAACCTTTGACCTGGTACTTGGACCTTTCACCTTCTTGCTTTGCACGTAACCATCTTAGTCTGCATGAAAGCCTTCCGCGCTTGGTCTGTTGTGTTAGTGCCTGGGGAGACTGCCCATCCCTGCCAGAAATGTTGCAGTGTGCGTTCAGACATGCCAACCCTGTGTCCCACACACCATCCATTAACCCTCTGAGCTTTTCCTCCTGAAGCCTGGATGTGTCTTGGAGGCAGTGAATAATCTTGGAGGGTGGCAGCTCTGGGTTTTGCAGTGTTTTTTCCAAACAGCAGCAGCTTCAGAGTCATGAGATGTGTTGTTTTGGTGAGAACTTAACCCATTAGGTCTGCGCTGTGCTGGATATGTCAGAGGACTGGGTGGTGCAGGACAAATCCAGCAACTTCTCGTGGTATGCCCAACAGCGCAGCCGTGCCTGGCAGCATCACCCTGGTACTGCCCTGCAGAAGGGTGATCTGTGTAATGGGCACAGCCCAAATTTAGGAGGAACAGAGCTAAGTAGCACTGTGAGATCTGTGCTGGGAAACAAAGCAGGTACATTGCAGGACTTTGGCATGTTCGGTACGCTGGGGAGATGGTGCCACTGCAGCTGGCTCTGTCTCTGGTTCCTCCCCCTGTACCGCAGTGGGACAGTGTCAGCACAGGGACCTCATTCTTGGGTGCCTTTTGCTTCAGGCTTTGCAACCCAGGCTTCTGTCTGCAAACTATCTTCATATAAGCCACCTTTGATTATTTTTCTGAGTCTCACATATGTTTTTCCTGTCTTTGTGACCCTCATAGCGAGGCAAAAGCCATCTTCCCAGTCTGCTGTCAGTCCTGGCTCCACAGAAGACAACTCCTTCCTGTTCACCCCAAATAATGAGGGATCCAATAAATCCTAAAAAAACATCAGCTACTGTCACCCAGCTGTAGGGGAGAAAGGGACGAGTGGACGCAGAGGAGCCCTGCAACTTTCAAGCTGGTGTTGCTTCTCATTCCCAGAGGTGGGAAGCAGAGGCTGATCTGCTCCCCTTTCCCTCTGAAGATTTGGGTTCAAGTAGTCAAGAGGCTTTCTTATCAGAGTTCTAGCAGCAGTAGGAAACCTTGCTAGGGACCAGCTTCTGCCAGCAGCTGTGGAATTACACTGTGACAGCCTCTCACTCCCCGGTGCTCACGGCTGGCACAGATGCAGCCCCAAAGCCCACATAGGCAGTGACCTGCACAGTGCCTTTCTGCCCTTCCCAAGAGCCACCTCTCCAAGGAGACGCAGTCCAGTGGAGGATGGGAAAGCCCTTTAACTCCCCTACACTCCAGACCTCCCCTACTGAACAAAACCCCATCAGATAATTTACTTTGAATAGTCTTCCTGCTCTGGAACATCTGAACATTTGCGACCGTGTTGTTGGAATATGTCACCTCCTCTGAACCTGTTGGGAAGGCTGCACTGGAGAAGGATTCACAGGGGCAATAAAAGCATGTGTAATCTTCAGAGGAAACTGCTCAGATTGCTTCTGCTGCTTGCCAGGCAATGAGTGGTACCGCTGCCTTCTCTCAGATCATTTTGTGTTTGTCATGCCTTGGACTGAAGCAGCAAGACAGATGCTGACCCAGCCCCTCTTTGCAAAGTGCAGTGGGGTGAAAGTGTGATGTGCTCCTAGGTGATAGCAATCTGAGGGGAACTGAGGTGCAATTAAATTGTTTGTTGCAAAGATTTAATCCAGTTCTTGTCTTGCAAAAAATAACAAGAGAGGGTTGTTAACCAGCATGTGGGAAATTTTGACTTTGGCATGCACTGCGTTTTTATCTGTCAGTCATGCTGAAAGATTGCTTTCCACGCCATGCAGAGAAGTGGCACAAACCTCTTTGTTCAGATGCTTGTGTTCCAGCAGACCTGCCCAAAAGTGGGAGGCCGTCTGGCATTTTTGTAGTGGGAATTGGGATCAGTGCAGGCTATCATATGGATACTGACCTGAATTAACCCTTTTACCAGTCAGATGGTCAGATCGTATTGCATAGGTTGCATGCCCATGTGCGCACACCAACACACAGGCAAAAAAGAAGAGATTACTGTCAAAGGTTACTGCTATATCTGTGATAGTCAGAGCTTGTCCAGAGGGAAATCACAAGCAGCAGGATGAAGTAGACTCACCAAGTAAGTTCTTTCCTACAAGGATTTAGTCTAGCTCCTGTTCTGCAGTGGGGAAGCGCTTGCTGTTAAGGTCAAAACGTGGTGAGGAGTCACCCGTTGCCTTTTGTAGGTGCTGCAGGACACATGTTGGGGGATTCCTTCAGAACAAGGATGTGGTGCGAGACAGAAATGTTGTATCTCCACAAGCTGTTACATTTCCTGCAGGTCCTGATACCATTACAGAGATGCTGGCCCATTTCAAACGAGACACACTTGTTTGCTCCAATGTCCCTGCCAGATCCCTGTGCAGGAGCTGTGTTGTCCCAACTTGATCACGTGCAATTTTAGACCCCTCTCCAGGCATTTGTAGGTAGACATTTCACTGAATGTGCTCCTGACTTGGAGCTCTTAACGCAAGGGCTGGAGAAGTGGTGAAGCCAAATCGTTCTGTCCCCCTGGGCCCTTCTGCACCTTGATACCTGGAATTAGACAGGTTGGCAACAGGAGGCACATGTCTTCAGGGCATGGTCCTGTATGGATGCTTCCCCAGCTGCTGGGATGGGAGGGGTGACCCAGAAGACTGTGTCAAACCAGAAGCAGACCAAGATGGGCTCCTGGCTCATGTGCCCACAGAGCTCATGTGGCAGAGGTGGTCTTCAGGTTGCACAGCAGCTGCTGCAATGTGCTTGTTTCTTTAGAAGACTGGAAATGTTATGTTTATTTGGGTTTCCCCAGCCAGCTGCTGTTGAGGCATTTCCCAAAGGTGCTGTTCAGGGACTGCCATAGCTCCTTTCTCTCCCTGGCTGTAGCCAGGGTAGGAGGAAGGGTGATGTTAGAGAAATGATGGGGTACTCTGTTGTGCCTTGGCATCCCTATGGCCTGTGGTGTTTGTATGCTTCTGACTGCGATGCTGGGCTCAGGAATTGTCCCACGTGTAAAGAGCCCGAACATCATGGCAAGGTCTCAAAGCCTTCAGCTGTTCTGCTTTTGGCACTGCCATTATGGGATAATGGGCTTTTTGGGGTGATGACAGCCTTTGGCCAAGAAACAAGGAGTCAAAAGTCCATTCTGTGCCTGGCACCGTTGCTTTGCTATAATTAGTGATTTTATTTTTTTTCTGAGGCCAATTTTGGAAGCACGTGAAAAAGAATGTTTTGCAATCAGGCACAGTAAGGAGCATGAGTTTAAGTAAGTGGCAAGTTCTTCAGTCACTATAAATCTGTAAAATACCTCTGATGTAAGTGGAGCTACTCCAGTCTCTGCAAGCTGCAAATCTGTCCTGTGCCTGGAGGAACATTCATGTAGCCATCATTAAATAGGCAAGATATAGTTACAGTCAGATTTAACATAGATATCAAATAGAGCTCCCCTAGAAATGGAACCTCTTAGATCTTTACCTAAAAGACTTCATCCTAAAATATGGATCTTAAGCAAAAGATTTTGGTGTCTGTGTCTGAGAATGTTGTCCTGTGTTTGATTGCTGTCTTTTGGTACTAGCCAGAAGAAATCTGGAAAGATTAAGTCCTAATGCTGGCACTGGATGCCTGCTAGCATTAGCAGAGGATGTGTGCATGTCTGGGGGCAGTTTTGCAAATGCAATTTATTCTTCTAATTTTGTTTTTTTTAATATTAAAACCACCCAAAAGCCACCATGTAAATAGAGATGGGATGGAGTAATGTTTTGCCTGGAAGTATCTTGCTTAACATTTCTCAGATGAGCAGTCTCCTATAGCAAATTAAATTTAAAGTGAAACCTGTTTCTAGATGGTGACAAACTGTTGCAAGCTTTCACTTATATTCTGTGGTGTGTTCTTTAAAAATATCTTTACTTGTGTCCTTTATTCAAAGTACTGTGTGTTCGTAGCCTTAACCCTTCATTAGCTAAACCTCCTCCATTACCTTACCCTTCACTGTCACCTATTAAAAAAAAAAAATAGGAGTGATAACCCTATTTTTCAGCCATTGCTTTGCTACATGATCTAGACTAACAACTAGGCAGAAATGACCTGATTCTGCATGACTTCCACGTGCGTAAATCTCATTGACGTCAATGGGAGTGTTACGTGCAAAAGGACTGCAGGGCATAATTAAAAAGGACCCTTTTCTATCACAATGTGGAGAAAAAAAATGTGGTTCCTACTTGGGTACAATGAAAAGCTGTAAATCATTAGAAACATTCCTGTCTCCTAAGAACCTGACATACTACTTTGCTGTTGAGACATGCTTGGGTGAATGATGAGTAACTCACTGAGAAAAGTTCCTGAGTTGGGTTAATGCTTTTTACCAAGTCTGATCATGAAACAGGTTTGACAGGCTGGAAGAAGCTCGGTGGTGTGATAGAACAAAAAGAGGGGATTTGCCTGATAGCAAGGCCCACGCAAATCTTGTTCGAACACCAGATTTGTCAATACCTTTTCCCACTGTTAACGAGCGAGCAGTGTTTAACTGTTGGAGGCCACCTTCTAGAAATTGGGAGCAGGTCCACATCTGCTGGTGGTGAGCTGTGCTGCTGGTGTGAGCAGTGGAGAATCAGGCCTGTTCTTGACCAAGTTGCTCAGCCTCTCTACTAACAAGTGGAACTGCATTTTACTATGAATGTAACATTGTGGGTGTAATTGGCAACAGCTACGGCTTTACCACCCAGACACATGGGTCAGCTGCATATGAGTGCACACGCTTCCATACGTGTGCATGTACATGTAGGCAGGTGTTGAAACAGGCAGAGGCAAGCATCCCTTATTTTTCCATGGCATCTGTTGCTTATGCTAATCTTCTTGTTTTTAAGTAGTCATCTACTATATTTCTCTTAGCTGGTATTTTTTTAAAAATGCTTGTTGCCTGCAACTGCTCTTTGTAGTATCCTGTCCAGGTTATCACCTCTCTCCTTCCTTCTCCTCATGCTTTTTTTTCCTGTGTGCCCAAGTCAGTCCAGCTGAAAAGCTCCCTTAGCATCCCTCCTCGACTCTGCCCCCTCTCCTTGTGCATTTACTAACTGTTTACCTAGTGAAGTTGTGGTTTCACCTACTACTTCTACTGTGATTGAGCTGCTCTTCTCTTTCCTGTCTCGCTAAGTTGACACAGTTGCAGGTGATTTGCAGCCAAGACCCCCCCTATTATTTATTGCATGCTTGATCTACATCTGGGCCCCTTTTTTTATTCCACTTGTCTTTAATGACTCCCTTATCCACAGGCCCTGCCGCCTGGTGCACTTCAACCTTTACCAAAGAGGCCAGCACTTGAAAAAAACAATGGTGCCACCACAGTCTTTAACCCAAGCGTTTTCCACTACCAACAGGCTCTAGCCAACATGCAGTTGCAACAGCCTACATTCATCCCTACAGGTAAGCGTCTCCTTACGTTCCCCAGCATCGTAGTTGTTCCTTTTATGACCTAGGTGTTGAGCTAATGAGCAGATCTCAAAGAGTCCTTAGCAAAAAAGTATCAGTGTGTAGTTTCATGTTAAAAATGGATGAAAAGTTAACATTTGTTGTTTGACTTTTTTTTCCTTCACCTACTACAATTCAGAGCTTTTCACTTGTAAAGATTCCTTCTTAGCCTTTTTTGTTTCATTTTGGGTTTTTTTAAGCGGTTGATCTAAGAACAATGTCTGCATGTTTCTTGAATTCATACTTTCTGTTTCTCCTCCTTATGGTTCAACTGGTTAATCCCAAATTAATTCTGTGACTCTTGCGTAGCACTCTTACGGACTCATGTTAAAATGTCTTGTGGACCTCTGTGCCTGTTCACTTGAAGCTGCAGGTATCTTTCTGAGCTTCTGTCTCAGTGACTTACATGTTCTAGCAGCCGTGATGTTTATAGAGGGAACGGTTCATCTTTAGTAAATACAAATTATGTAATCCTCTTTAAAAGCATATATTTCCCTCTTGCTTTGTCTTTTGACCAGTATGATAGCCTAAGCTTTTTAAAAGCAATTTAACTCCCAGCTTTTATTGTACATTTAAGGTCTCAGAGTAAAATTGAAAGATGCAGTTCAGTAATTCATATAGGACTTGAAATATTGACGTGGCAGATGTGACTGCTGACTAGCCAATTAACCTCTATTCACTGCAGCCAAATGAAACCTGCTTAGAGTAGTAAGTATTGTAAGTGGCTGAATTAGGAATATTCCAGAGTTGATAGCTCTTTTTTTAGTATCATTATCATTGCAGAGCATCATAAGAAAACAAATGCCCAATGTTTTTAATGTTTAATGCTGTATTCACTTGCCAGGTGATATTTACAAAAATATAGGAAATGTTTCTCTGGGCTGGGCCCTCGAGGTGAACACACAGTCGACCTGCACCTCAGCCTTGCTGTTCCTTGGGGTCAGGGGAAAAGCTTCAGAGACAGTCCTACACTGAGACCGAATGTGTCTCGGGCATAAGCGTGGGTCCAGAGAGCTGAGGCCTAAACCCTGTGCTCATGTGGCTTTTCCTGCTCTGAGAGCACTTGGCGACACTCAGAACTCAGCAGCTGCCGAGATGTTCTTCCAGGGAAGTGGAGTCTTGTGTGGAGAGACGGAGGGAGGGACTCGGGCAGGAACCTCCCCCATGGGCTCTGCAAAGTGCTCTTGGAGGGGATGGACTGAGCTGGCCTAACCGCACTCTGTTAGGCGCCAAGCGAAATACTTCTTCAGGAAACACTTTGAGAATGCCAAGTCCCCGAGCTGGCTACACACTCCTCTTCCTTGAGGTCACAGTTGCCAAAGTTGACATAAGGACACGCATTTCTGATGTGAGCACCATAAATGAGCTTTTTACCGAGCACTCTCACTGTGCTGTTGTGCCCTGTCTTGTGGCAATGAAATTATGCTCAGGGCTGATGTGTAACAGGTCTATTTGCTGGCACCTGCTCTCGTCTGAGACATTAATGCTAGGCAGAGCAGCAAATTTCCAGTCAGAGGATGGATCTCTGATGAATTTGCTTTACTCATCCCCATTTTCCCTTATGCATCAGACAGCAGAGCTGGTCTCAGCCTTCGCAGTGCTCTGGAAGGTGAAGCAGAGAAGTGGTGTGTAGCCGCTCACACCGTGGGAAGGGGGAGCGAGCTGTTGCTTTTCTTAGTTTCTCCTGTTCAGTTATTGAGAGATCAGTATCATGGGTTGCCATGAGGGGAAAAGTCAGGGTGTCTATGGAAAATGGCATCATCATTACAATTGTTTCAAGTCCAGAAGAAAACTGCCTCTTTCAGCTTAAACTAGAGACTTTGAATCCCGGTCCCTGCTTGCAGGAGTAAATTGCTTTTGGAAAGTTGGTTTTAACATGAGTGTGACATTCTTCTAAGGGCAATTTGTTTCCTGCT